TCGGCATGGGAATGCGGCCAGAGGCAGCAGTCTGGGCTGCAAGAATATAGGCTAGTGTCATGGGCCAGGCTTAAGATTCATTTATGCCAACTACCAGCTGGATGCTCCATGAAATGAGACAATGGCTCTTATCTAAACCATAGGGGGTCTGGCTGGCTGGTGTCTAAAGTCCTTTCCATTTCTAAGGTTCCAAGAGTCCAGGTTAAGGTCAAGAAACTCCATGAATTCAAGAATTACTTATATTCTGCTTCCTAAAAGAACTGAAGCTATTTCATAACTGGAAAAGATAGACTCTAGTACCCCTCAGTAGATAAAAAAAGAGGAGCCGGTGAGAGGGAATACTGCTACAACTAGAGAGTCTAGATAAGACAGGGTGTTTTCTGGAAGGATGCTGTACAAAACCAAATACTTTCTGTTCCTTCCATAGAATTTGCTTTTCCAACATAGTCACTCAGCAGCAATCTATTACACTGTAGACAGCACATGCTCTTGACCCAGGAGAGGCCTTAGTGGAACCATTCTGTCACTAAGATAGACCTGGTTCTGGTCTGATGCTCGTGAACCTTAGGTATCAGTGCAGGCAGAGAAATGATGGGTAAATACAGTGTTAAGAATCCATCCCAGACACCTAGTTCCCAGATCTTGATTTCAAAAGTCATTATCTAATAAAAAGAAACAGCGCTCGCTGAAGAAACAGTGTAGGATGGGAGCAGCACACACACAGGACGATCTAGCGTGCCTCGTGCTGTTCAAAAATAAGTGGGCAAACAAGGAAGTAACGAAGCACAAAACAACAAAACAAAACCTCACATAGTCAGGTACGTCAATGGGCCCGAGAACCAATTAGAAGACTTCTCAAGTGCCAAGGCTGGCAGAACTGGAGGGACCAAGAAAAGCAGCACTGGACTAGATAATCCAAATGACAAAAATCAATGCCCTTGAGTCCACACCAACGTAGATGAGTGACGAAGTGAATTAAATGTAGAGACCGGGAAACAAATACCCATCTAGGATAAGTCTAAATTGTTTTTGCAGCTGCTCTACTCCACAGGGGTGCTTCCGTCCCAGCACTCCGCTGCTGCTCTCCATTCTTCCTAGGTGGACACACAGAGACTGCCTTCAGAGGAATAGTGGACAGAAATGTGGAGGGAAAGAATTCACTGTGGAGAGACTACCTAAAAATCACTACCTATTCCAAGTGACCAGAGCAACGCTGGCATGACTCTGAGTCATGTTGAGATGATGAGATACAAATGGCACTTAACCTCTGGGATCCCTCTCCCCTAAACCATAATTCAGTCTAATAATAGAAAAAAAACTCATATAAGTCCTAATAGAAGGGCATATGCCTGGTCAATACTCTAAAACTGCCCCGGTCATCTTAAACAAAGACTTAGAGTGCCACAGCCTAGAGAAGCCTAGGGAAACAGTAGCTTTAAATGCATCTAGGGGTCAGATATGGGATCCTGGAACAGAAGAGGACATTGGATAAGCCTAAGGAGACATGACTGAGAGATGAATTTTAGTTAGTAATAACACACCAATATTTAACATCGCTCATTATAACAGATGGGCCACAATAACACAAACATATTAATAAAAGGAGAAACTAGGTATATGGCTGAGTGTGAGGCCTTAATTCTTTATAATACTTGCTCAATTTTTAAAAATAAGCAATTATGCTGTGTATGTGCATATATCCATGTCACAGCACACATGTGGATGTCAGAGGATCATCTGTGAGAATTAGCTTTCTGGTTCCACCCTATGAGTCCTAGGGATTTAACTCGGGACACCAGGCTTGGCAGCAAGCATATTTACCTGTTGAACCATCTCATAAGCTCTCAATTTTCCTTAAATCTGAATGTGTTTATTAAAAGGAAAAAGAAAGGGATAGAGGTCAGAGAGCCTCTCTTGGTGGCTTTGAACAAGCAAGCTTCCATGGGTCTATACCTGCAAGGAGGGAATTCCATCAATACTGTGACCCTGACAAAGATCTTAAGTCTCAGAGAACCCAGTCACAAATATGAGGACAGTTTAGTGAGATCCTCAACTGAACTCTGTTAAGCTGCACCTGGAATTCTTCTTCAAGAAACCTATGAGATAATACATGTTTATTGTTTAAAGTTGCTAAAAAAAAAACACAAAAAAAACAGTGGCAAACCAACAAACAACATATGTCTAAGCAATAAAAGACACACTAAAGAAATTGAAATTTATTAAACTGTAAAGTATGCCTGGTGCATTCACTGAATTGCTGGTTGAGGAGACTCTGAAGAGGAACCTTGGAGTAAGGACTGAAACCTAAGGAAACAGACATCTATGAGCTGTTGCTAAGGTCAAGGATATCAGGCAGCTCCAGGGCCTGAACCAACTGTTACATATGTTAAGACAGAAAGGCAGCCAGTATGTATGGACCTGCATGAGAGTACAGAAAAAACAGAAATTGCTGAGAGAGGCAAGGTCAGCCAGAATGTAAAAGACTTTTAAAGAAAGTAAGAAGTTTGAGCTTTAAGTTCAACTGAAAATCATTAGATTATTATTGACAGGAGGTGGTGACACATCTGTTTCATAGATTAAACAATTTATGCTGGGATGGCAAGATGAGTCACTGGGCAAAGGCACTTGCCACCAAGTGTCACAACCTGAGTCTGACCCTTGGGATCCGCATGGCAATGGAGAGAACCAGATCTCAAGGAGTATCCTCAGGCCTCTACACCTGTGTCATATAGCATGTGCCCTCGTGTGTACACACACACACACACACACACACACACACACACACACTGTAATAAAAGTTTTTTTTAAAAAAAGATTCATGCTAACTTCTCCGTTCAAAACTGGTCATGGAATAGCCATAGTGAAATCAGAGTGGCCAGCAAGGGACTTCCATTGCAAGTCTAGACAAAAGATGACAGAGCCTTAGCCATGACTTGGGGTAGAAAGAAGCAAAGACCTCCAGAAATTATGGGAGGATGTGGGAAGGCCCTTGATATTATAAGCATAGGCTAGGGAGTCCAACTCCTCTTGTAAACCTGTGTGCCTAAGGCGCTTTCAGGGTGGGGGTCAGAAGTGAGCAGTGTCGTCATATGCTCCTGTGCTACCTGGTCTGTCCCTGTGTTATCCGGTTCCCAAGCCTCCACATATCCCTGGTGATTCATTACGATGGCTACTTGTACCCATATGAGGTTCTGCCCGTCTGGGCTAGATCTTTTCTGGAGGTGCTGCCAAAAAGAAAACTAGATAGCATCTACCACCCCCAGCCTCCTGGCCAAACAATGCTGCCCTGCTTAACTAATAGTTTCCTCTGGTTTGAACACCCATTTAACAGTTTGTTGGCAGTTACTGCACAGTTCGTGAGGTGCCCTCTCTTTAATTCAGAAATGGTCAGGAATGCCCAAGATAGACTATCTTTCTAGAGAAACAGAGAAAACGGTGTGAAGAAAAGTCTTTAGCCCTTATTTTGGCTCTGGATTCCTGTTCAGTCTAGGGCTGGTTTTCTCAGCTTCTCTGACAGACCTGGAAGACCTATCTCTGGCCTCAGGAAAGCCAGAGGCTGTTCTGTGTCTCCAAAGAGATAGGATATAGACTCACACAAGATACAGCTGGGTTTTTTTTTTAACCTTTTCTTATAGTTTGGAGGTCCTCATGAAAGGTGGAGGGGAAACAAATTTACTAGGGAAAATACTGGTAAAAATATAGTGTGAGAATCATCAGCTAATTTAAGTCGTTGCCTTACCAGAGAGCAGAGAAGCCCATAGGATGTAAGTGTGTGTTGGGCATTGGCGGTTTGTCTATGTAGAATCTAACAGAGAGCCACCACTTCAATCTCACTCTCTAAGCCAGTGTCTTAACCATAGGTGTAGGCCCTAGGGGTGGCAACTCTGACATGAGGACATCCTGACTCTGGACAGGTTAGTCCCCTAAAAGTACCAGCTCCACGGGAGGCCTGCATTTGTGTTTGACATAGAGTAGCTGTGCTGAAAGGAACAGAGCAAAACTTCAGGTCCTTCCTACAAAGCCTCTCTCTTCTTCTTCCCCTAAACCAGACTTTTTTGTGTCCCAGAAATCTCTCTGTGCCCAATGAAGGACATGCTTCTCCATTCCCCAGCTTCCCCTGCAGATAAAGAGTCCCACAGCCGACCTCATCTTTCTCTCCTCAGCTCAGAAAGAGGCACAAAAGAGACCAGCATCAAGCACCTGCACGGTACCCAAAGCCAGAGCTCTGCTCCCGAATGTGGGATTCTTTTTCTCTTCCTCCCACAATCATTTCTAATTCACACTCGCTCTTTCCTTCCAGGCCCCACACAAGTCACCCATCCACCCATTTCAGGCAGTCCAACACTTGAGCCCTAGGCTGAGCCACAGACCAGGAGACTCCATAGAGAAGGAAGATTCCCAAGCAGACAGCGAGGAAGCTTCTACTTTGCTCGGACTAGAACCTATCCCCAGTTCTTTCTATGTACAGTCTGCTGAAGGTCAATGAACTGACTCAATGGCCATACAGTAATAAGAAAGGAAACATAAATAGAAGGATCTAGTCTAGACCTACCACTGTTTTGTTCTAAACTGTGAGTCAAGGATGAGCATAGCCCTTAGGAGAAGAAACACCTCCTTCCTTGGTCTAACACTAAAACACAGACATGTGTGTGAAAATGGAGTGCGAAATGTCCAGCACATCTTGGTTTCATGCTTCTAAGTCTGAGGTCTCCATCTGCCCCCATGTAAGTTTCCTAGCCACAGTATCTCCCTTCCATCTAGGCATTGAGGTCCCCAAGACTCTAGACACCTAGGACTGTATCTCCTTTCTTTTTTTCATTCCCTAATGGCTGGTATAGTGGCCAATAGGTGACAGGGGCAGAGCCTGTTGATGAGCCAACAGATAAGGGAGCAAAAAGAACCATATTGGCCACGCCCTTCTGCTGTATGCTCTTATCACTCGCCCACTGTTCCAACTAACAGGACCTCCCCAGGCTCCCCAGCCCCATCAGCAGCCTTACCTCCCATAAGGAAGAGAAGCCCTGCCACATACTGCATAAGGCCTCGGTCCCAGCAGCAGCCCAGGACACCGATGATCCAGCCGAAAAGGATGATGGCCACTGCCATGCCCATGAAGCCAGCTGTCATTCTACGCAGATCTGTGAGGAAGCAGAAGAAAAACAGCATTATAACATGTGATACAGTAGGGTCCGGTGTACCTTAGGCTGGGGCAGGGAGAAGAGGGTAGGGGCACTTCAAGGGCAGGAAGATTACCGATTGAGACTTCTACCCAGGAGAGGGCCACTGGTAGCGACTGTCTTCTCCACAAGTGTGCTATGACAGCTGGGTTCCTAAGCATAGGGCAAGCACATCATCCCCTGTGGCCGTTGGCTCACTTCATCTGAGCTGGGCATGTGCTGCCCTTCCTGTGAGTCTGTAGCATCTTTAAGAGGCGGGTGCTGTCTCTAGTCTGGAGAATAGAGCAACTTGCTAAAAGCAGCACAGTAAGTGGTAAAAAGGACTCGAACTTAGACAGTTGTGGCTAACAGCATTAGCTTTTTAGAGACAAGAAAGCAGTGAGGTAGGTAGGCTGCTGGAGAGAGCAGGGTTTCTGCAGACCAGCTGCCTCTTAGTCCACCCCACCTTAACCCAGGGTCTGCTGAACTGTGGAATAAGCCACATGAGAAAATATGGGTTTGGTGCTCTGCTCCATCCCAAGCTGGCTCTTGGGCTTAGTTTTGCCTGCAACCTTGAAGCAGAGGAAGGGCCTTACCTCCCTCCCTTAGTCTGAGCCCCTGGAGCAGGCCTTTCCTTGCAGTTACCTCTGTCCTTCTGACTCTAGAGTCAGCCCCAATGTATCTGTTCTATACCTCTATGACCTATCTGATGAAGCCATGAATGACTTGGTAAGGAAGGAGGTGGCTGGAAAAATACTGTTTGCAGCAGAAGGGAGAGCGAAGGACTGCTCCATGTCTCTGCTGACTACTTAGCATCTTGCCCAACTCAGCTTCTTTGCTGGCTCCTTCCCTTTTGTGGCCAGATGTCACCAGAGCTATGGTTATGTATTCTCTCTCCATGCGTGGCTCTGGCCTGGACTTGTTTCCAGAATGGTTTCCTTCCTTCACTTCCTCTTCATAGAACTGACTCTATCTCCTGGAAAGCACTTCACCTATCACATTGGTCACTCCTTCCTGAATCTGCCTGAAACTCCTTATGCCCACCCACCCTTAAGGCAGTACGCCAGCTCCAGCCTGCTAACAGGCTCTAAGCAAGAGAAAACAACAACAATAACAACAATAAAACAAAACAAACAAAAACTATTTTGTTTTGCCTGGCTTCTGCCCCAGACTCTGACTCAAGGACATTTTTCTCTCACAAAGGAAGGGTAAGACATCAGGGAGATGGAGGATGTGCCTGCCTGGAATCAGGTACCTCACGTCCACTGCCACTCCATCTATCTCTTCTTGTCCCAGAGGAACAAATGCAACAGTGTTTCTGTGGGCCTGGGGATCTGAGTCAGTCATAAGGAGGCTATCCTTCCATCCTTTCTGTCTCTTACATTCTATCCATTCCTACCCAGAGTCACGAAACACGAAAAAGGAATCTCTGTCTCCAACAGAGCACAGTTTGAGTCAAGATCTTTCTCTTGAGGGCTCTGGTCTCTTTGTTCTGACAAGGAAAACCAGACATTGTCAGTCCCTGCCAAGAGGAGCTGACTAGACAGGAAGGCTCAAACACACAGGGAAAACAATGCTGGCCCTCCCATCTGGGAAGGAGAAGCCAGCAGAACCTGGATAGTTCCATAGTCCCAGAGACAGAGATCCCAAAAGGGGCAACAGAGAAGATACCTGCCCTGCCTGATTCTCTTTTGCCTTACTGAGCACCTAGCAGGCCTGCCCCAGCCAGGTGGAAATAACACTCTGTATTCACTCCTGTGAGCTGTTAAGGATGCCTCATTATCACACAGCAGTGTGCGGATTGCTCATACTGCCAAATGAGTCAGGCGAAGCTTTGCTGAAAGAGCCATCTGATGACAATGCTCACGTGTAACCTCAGCCTCCTGCATAGCCAGCTATAGCTAAAGGCAAGGACTGTCCCTGCCCATGGGCTGCCCCATCCCAGGGTCAGTGCCTATGGACTGGTGAACGCTGTTCGTCCTTTCATCTCATCTCTACAGTCACACTCATGGCCACCATTCCTTCTTTCCTTACCATAAAGGCCCGATCAGACTGATCAGCAGAGACAAGTGAGGCCATGTCAATTGATTCCTAGGAACAGATAATCTGTGATGGATACTCTGACCACTGCTTGCTTAAAGGGCAAATGGAAAGAGAAAGTCCAGCTCTACCACAGGGAAGCTTAGTATCTTAAACAGAAGGTACTAAATTCAGCACCTTCTCCTAGATTCTTCCCTTTTTCATCCAGTGAAGGCTTCTGGTCCTGCCCTTATCGCCTCAGTAAACCCACCTTTTCCAGAGGTCAAATTCTCACTTGACTTTAGTGTCTGGAAGTCCTACCCTGGTCCCAGACTATAGACTCTTGGGAGTAAAGATATTACCTAAAGGGATGAGTGGGTAGTGGGTCCCATCAAGTGAGTCCACAGTGGTGAGAGATGGACCTGTGGGTTGGTGAGATAGGAAATCTAAAGAGAACGCCAACCAGAAAGAATAGGAGGTGACATTTATTGAAGGATGAGAGCAAAGTGTTCTCTTTATAAGAAAATGGGAGGGGGCAGAAAAGCAGGCAAATGGAGAAAATAATTGGTATTCTGAAAGGTCTGGACAGATTCCAATCATCCGAGTCTTGGGTGTTGTGGGGGGCAGTTCCTTCTCTCTGCCTCAGCTTAGGTAAACTTCTGTGTCTCCCATAGGGTATTGCTGACTTAGGTAAAGGGTTGTTCTAAGTTGTTGATGTGGAAATAGGATGAAAAACAGAGGTCCTGACTGCATTTCCATTGACCCAGGAAAGATTTTCACATCACCCTTGAGTCTGGCTTTGTCCAACCTCTGTGTGAACAACCAGTATTTCTCCTCAGAGAGTTAACTGGGTTATCTATGTGGTAGCTCAGGCAAGCTACTATAATAGGTCCGAAGGCAGGCAGAACAAGAAGTATTCCAATTTTACAGATGAGAAAAAGGCAAAACCCGAAGACAAATAAGTTATCGACAGTCTCAAAGCCAGCGGACTGCAAATAGAGTTAACAGGTGCATCATTGAATTGTGTGAGGAAACAGGATAAAGAAAAGAATTAAAATTGATGTGAGCAAATGCGCTTGGCATTTCTTCTTCTAAAATCAAGCCAGAACTGTAGCTAGGACACGGGGAACAAAGGACAGAAGATGACAAGAAGGGTGAGGGCCGTGACACTGCTGAGGGGTGGAAATGACTGGGCCAAATCCAAAGGCAGTGTCCGAGAAACCCTATTGCCTTGCCCTTATGAAGCCCCAGGTTCCAACTCAAG